CTCCGACACCTCAGAAGGAATGCAGCTTGGCCCATCAGGAGCTGCGATGCTGCAAACCAGATCGCAACGTGTACCGAACGCGATGCCCAGGGCAGATGCTCCTGTGGCAGCCAGCAGGTTGAACGAACATACACACAGACTGCAGACGTTTTTCAACTCGGCGATGGAACGCTTTTTGAAGGAACAACGCGCCGCGCAGGGAACGCCATCAGTGCCCCTGATGAGAAGAACGGAGCCGCAGAACGTCGACATGGCGTCTATGGAATCCGAGCATGGAGAATATGACCAGGACGATTTGGACCTCTCTGTCTCCCGTGAAGCGACAGCAGTCACCGCTGCTACAACGACTGGACTGCCAGCGATCGCCCCTTGCATTTGTTTGTCTGCTATGTCGGAATCCAAGGAGCTCTCGGGGAAGGACGATGACGAGGATCGCGCACGGGCTTGGATCAGCAAGGTGAAGTCAGCTTTCGTCCGCGATCAGGCCCGGTCGACGAGACGTGTTTGGTGCTTGGTGGCCTGTTCACTGGGCCGGCGCGTAACTGGTACCGGCAACTTAGTCGAACCACGAGGGGCGACTGGAAGGATCTCCTGCGCGAGCTCCAAGTTCAGCTCTGCGGACTCGGAGTCTCGGTCGCGAGACAATACTACCATGCTACGAAGCGCGCTGATGATACACCGCTGGAATACCTGCACCGACTAAATGTCGCAGGATTGAGAGCAAAACTGCGCGTGAAGAGCGGCCCATCTGACGTTAGCCCCGAGCACGCGGAACACTTCATCGAGACCCTGGACTACCGCGATCTTGCCGAGCAGCTGGCGTGGATGCGTATCTCGGATGCTGGTGCGTTGGAAGAGGTACTGCGGGTGAGACAGCGTGCGAAGAACCGTCAGGGACGCGCACACTTCGGATCGAGCAAGTATCGACAGAAGACCGCCAGTTCCGACGCCACGAAGTCGGCTCCAACGCGCAAGGTGCAAGCCATCGTGACCGCGAACCTACCAGAAAGCGACAGCGACTCTGGTCTTAGCGGATCGGAGTCAGACGGTGATTTGCGCCGGATCTATCTGGCTGCAACGGAAGGAGAGTCGAAAACAGCGCCAGACGAACACGATCGGACCGCGTCCGGCCAAGCTCCGCCACCGCGAGAC